ATATGCAGAAGATTATAAGAGAGATTAGGTCGCCCACTAGAAAGAATCATATTACCAAGTATATCCACCTTTGACCCCAGTCCGGCTTGTAGCCGGGAGTCCTCCTTAAAGCTCGGACGTCCCTGGCCGTGCCCCTTACATAAAGTCCACACCGGATGGCTCCGCTGAAGGGCTTGCCAAATCCCGACTGTGAAAGTGAGAAAAAAACATGCTCCAGGAGGGCGGCGCGAAGACCTTCCTCTAATAGGCGAATTTATAGTGTCACACGGTATGAAGGATCAGGAGTTTTACAAGGCTAGCAGGGTTGGAAAATCTCAACAAAGGGCGGGGCGCTGCTCAAGCTCTGTCCAGTCCCTCCGTCCCTCCATCCCACCATCCATCCGCGTCTAGGCTGTCAGCTTCATCCATCCATCTATTCTATCATGCTATGCGCATTCCATAACCATAAAAACACACTAACGCCCCACTACAAGGAGGAAAGACTCCGAGCAACTGACCACACATATGTTTTTTTTTTTTTTGAGACGGAGCTCCGCTCTGTCACCACAGGCTGGAGTGCATCGTGGCCTAGGGGTTGCCTGGGGTCACGGGCAAGAAAAGGAAACTTTTGCACAACCCTGTACATCTACCAAAACTCACTGAAGACCAGGCACGGTGGCTCACACCTGTAATTCCAGCACTTAGGGAGGCTGAAATGGGAAGACTGTTTGAGGTCAGGAGTTTGAGGCTGCAGAGAGCGATGATTGCACCACTGCACGCCAGCCTGGGTGACACAGCAAGACCCTGTCTCTACATAAATAATTTTTTGAAAAAGTTCACTTAACTGTATGTTTAAAATGAGTCAATATTTAGGTATACTAATTAAACTACAATAGGCCAGGAGTGGTGGCTCACTTGAGTTCAGGAGTTCGAGACCAGCCTGGCCAACATGGGGAAATCCTGTCTCTACTAAAAATACAAACATTAGCCAGGCGTGGTGGTGAACACCTGTAATCCTAACTACTTGGGAGGCTGAGGCAGGAAAATCGCTTGAACCTCACTGCAGAGGTTGCAGTGAGCCAAGATTGTACCACTGCACTCCAGCCTGGACAACAGACTGAGACTCCGTCTCAAAAAAGAAAAGAAAAGAAAATACCATTCTGGCTGCAGCAAGGAAGATGGCTTTGAGAAGCCAGAGGGAAAACAGCCACTCGTGAAGCAACTGTGGCACTAGCCTAGGCTGCAGGCAGTGGTGGGTTGGCCTAGGACAGCATCGAGAGGGGCAGAGGGAGCTGATTTGGGAGGGAGCTGGGCTGTTAAGTTGAATGGGTGATGCAGTGGTGTGGGGGATGAAGAGGGATCAAGAATGAAGCGTTTCTGGCTCATGCAGAGATGGATGGTGCTAGGATTCTCTGACACAGGAGTTCAATCATTCAGCAAACATTTGTTAGGATACTACTGTGTCAAGGTGTCAGACACCAAGCAAGAAACTTTTTTGAGATGGGGGTCTTGCTCTGTTGCTCAGGCTGGTGTGCAGTGGCACAATCACAGCTCACTGCAGCCTCAAACTCCTGGGCTCAAGCGATTCTCCTGCCTCAGCCTCCTGAGTAGCTGGGACTACAGGCATGCACCACACTCTTGGCTAATTTGTTTATGTTTGTAGAGATGGGGTCTCGCTAGATTGCCCAGGCTGGTCTGGAACTCCTGGCCTCAAGTCATCCTACCACCTCAGCCCCCTGAAGTGCTGGGATTACAGGTGTTAGCCATTGCAGGCCTCGGAGCTTGCAGTGAGCTGAGATCCGGCCACTGCACTCCAGCCTGGGTGACAGAGCGAGACTCCGTCTCAAAAAAAAAAAAAAAACAAGGAGCAGCCCTAGTTCTCGGGAACCATCCTCTCTTCCTCCGAGGGTCTGGTTGGAGGCTTTTTACGCTCAGTAAAGGATGGATGGATGGATAGATGGATAGATAGATGGATGGATGAAGCTTGAGCAGCGCGATGGATGGAGGGATGGAGGGACGGAGGGACGGACAGAGCTTGAGCAGCGCCCCGCCCTTTGTTGAGATTTTCCAACCCTGCTAGCCTTGTAAACTCCTGATCCTTCACCGTGGACACTTAAATACCTATTAAAGGAAGCGTCTCCACCCGCCCCTCCTGGAGCATGTTTTTTCTCACTCCAGTCGGGATTGCAGCCCTTCAGCGGAGCCTCCGGTGGACTTTTGTAGGGCAGGCAGGGACTCCGAGCTTAAGGAGACTCCCGCTACAGGACTGGGGTCAAAGGGATAACTTGGAATGATTCTTTAGTGGCACCCTATAATCTCCAAGGTACATCTAATAAACAGGCACTCTAAATAAAATTAGTATAGTTCTGTGCAAATACAGCTTGAAGACCCAGCTTTCAACCAGCCCTTGAAGCCCCTCTACTGAAATTCTGGAATCTCGTGGGGAGAGCATCCCCCCCACCCCAAAACGCCTTATTAGAAACTATTTCGAGTCCGAATACCCATAATTGGCTTTGCCCCACATATTAGGTGCCTCGTGTTTCAGAACCTTAAGCTTGGTTTCCCCTGGCGGACAGGAACTTCAGGTTGCAGCCATTTAATTCCCTCAACAAAATATTATTGAACATCTACATGCCTGGCATTTTACCAGGTTTCAGGGAAAGGCAGACTTACTCGCTTCCCTGGTGGAGCGTATCTAGAGAGTGATACACGTTGTAAATTGCACCTGTGAAGTGAAAGGGCAAGCCACAGGTTGAATGAAGACATTTACAAAGCATCTATCTGCCAAAGGATTTGCATCCATGTAAAGAACCTTTTTTTTTTTTTTTTTTTTTTTGGAGACAGAGGCTTCCTCTGTCACCCAGGCTGGAGCTGGAGTGTAGTGGCGGGATCTCGGCTCACTGCAACCTCCACCTCCCGGGTCCAAGCGATTCTTGTGCCTCAGCCTCCCAAGTAGCTGGGGTAACAGGCACACGCCACCACGCTCGGGTAATTTTTTGTATTTTTGGTAGAGATGGGGTTTCACCAGGTTGGCCAGGCTGGTCTTGAACTCCTGACCTCAAGTGATCTGCCCGCCTTGGCCTCCCACCATGCTGGGATTACAGGGGTGAGCCACCATGCCCAGTGTCATTTTAATTTTTATGTTTGTAGAGATGAGTTCTCACTCTGTTGTCCAGGCTAGTCTGGAACTCCTGAACTCAAGCAATCCTCCTGCCTCATCCTCCCAAAATACTAGGACTACAGGTGTGAACCACTGCACCTGGCTCTTTTGTCCATTTTAAAAATTGTGTTTTTGGCCAGGCACAGTGGCCCATGCCTGTAATCCTAGCACTTTGGGAAGCTGAGGTGGGAGGATCACTTCAGCCCAGGAGTTCAAGATCAGCCTGGGCAACAAAGTGAGACTCATCTCTACAAAACACTAAAAAAATTAAAATTAAATATACATGTTCCATATGACCCAGCAATTCCACTCCTAGGTAACTATCAATGAGAAATGAAAACGTGTCCAAACAAAAACCTGTATATGAATATTCATAAACGCATTATTCATGATAGCCCCAAAATGAAAAGAATCCACATGTCCATCAATGGGGCATAATCTATTCATACAATGGGAATAGCTTAGCAATGAAAAGGAATGAACTGTCAGAGACATTCGAACCAGAGTGACTCCATTTTGAGTGAGGGCTAGGAAAATAAGGCTAGGACTTGCTGGACTGAATTCCAGAAAGTAAGGCATTCCTAGACTCGAGATGTTTATGGTTAAGGGAACAAATTAATAACGTTTACTAAGCCGGGGGCAGTGCCTCACGCCTGTAATCCCAACACTTTGGGAGGCTAAGGCGGGTGGATCACGAGGTCAGGAGTTCAAGACCAGCCTGGTCAAGATGGTGAAACCCCATCTCTACTAAAAATACAAAAAAAAAAAAAATTAGCCGGACGTGGTGGTGGGTGCCTGTAATCCCAGCTACTTGGGAGGCTGAGGCAGGAGAATACTTGAATCGGGACCCAGAAGGCGGAGGCTGCAGTGAGCCGAGATCATGCCACTGCACTCCAGCCTGGGCAACCGTGTGAGACTCAAAAAAAAAAAAATTAGCCGAGCATGGTGGCACACACCTATAATCCCAACTACTCAGGAGGCTGAGGCAGAAGAATCACTTGAACCTGGGAGGCGGAGGTTGCAGTGAGCTGAGAGAGCACCACTGCACTCCAGCCCAGGCAACAAGAGCAAAGCTGCATCTCAAATAATAATAATATAATAATGTTTACTAAACAGATCCAGACTTGGGAGTGTCCAGATATCCCAATATATGGAGAACAAAGGCATTCCTAATTTTGCTTTAAAGATAACAATATTGATTCTTGCTAAATATAGTAATTAAGAAAATTAGCTGGGCGCAGTGGCTCATGCCTGTAATCCCAGCACTTTGGGAGGTCAAGGCGGGCGGATCATGAGGTCAGGAGTTCAAGACCAGCCTGGCCAACATGGTGAAACTCCCGTCTTTACTAAAAATACAAAAATTAGTTGGGCATGGTGTTCCTGTAATCCCAGCTACTTGGGAGGCTGAGGCAGGAGAATGGCGTGAACCCGGGAGGCGGAGCTTGCAGTGAGCTGAGATCCGGCCACTGCACTCCAGTCTTGGCGACAAAGCGAGACTCTGTCTCAACAACAACAACAAAAAAGATCCAAGA